TGTAATCCACAATACATTGAGGGGAAGGGATATTTAGAGATGCTTGGGATGCATTGGCATCTCTGTCAATGTAGGTGTCCAGCGCAGACACCGTGTGCCAGGAACAGTGTCCATAGCCTGGAAAGTTCTCCATCAGGCCCTGCGCTGCTGGGGACTGCTTTTATCAACAGCTCCCTTGGAAAACCTTAAGATAAATTTATAACATTGCTTACCCTTTTTGGAGGTGTTCTACCTTATGTTGTGGAGGGGCCACTATTTTTTACTGGGAGCGCTGGGAGTGACTGAAGACCACCCACCAAGTACAAAGGGAAGCGCATCCCTGGGAGATGAGCAGTGCCTCTGAGCTTCCCTTTCCAAAGGATGTGACCTGTATTTTCAATTGGGAGTTAGTTTTGTTCTCTTCAGAGTCTTCACTGCATATTTCTACTTTTTATTTTATGGTACTAAAGAAATCATCAACTTCCCCCCCTAGGATAGGAAATAGGGCAAGCTTGAGATGTGCTGGCCTGCAGCCCCCGTCACCGATAGCCACTGGCTGCAGCAGGACACATCTCGAGCACAGCAGGCCGGAGGGGGCTGACTTGAGGCGAATCAGAGCAGCAAAGGCAAACCAGCACGTTCTGGAGTTGATCAGTGCCGTACGAAACTGCCTGGTCCCGAGTCTATTTTGACGGAAAAGAGGGGTAGTGCCCACGTGGTTCTCACACAGAGTGTCAATATTTTGAGTCCGCTTTGGCAGGCAAAGCACGGACACTGACGGAGGGTTTCCTCAACGCTAGCGCCACACATTCTTCTGGAAGGAGACCTGTCATGCTACAGGGCACATCCCTGACAATGCCCGCTTGCACAGACAGACAGACACACAAGAACTCATGGAACCGTGAGAATCACTTCTACCTCCCCAGAGCTGGTATTCGGTGCCAAAGGAGGCTTCCCTTGTGAGTCAAACTGCAGGCCTGGAGGCAGGGAGATCAGGAATGGGGTGCAGAGAAAGGGTTAAACCCAGCACACCACATGCGATGGCGTGAACCCTAATACCTTCCCAACTGCTATTTCAAGCTTAAACTATACTTTAAATTGCAAAATTATGTGCTTAACTTAGGAATATGTAGGTTATTTGGATTAAATGAGATTCAACGGAGCTGAAGGGACTGAAAAGACACACAATGTTACCCGAGGCCATTCTGAACACTTATAGCAGCCCATAAGCTGCAGGGATGCCAGGCGACCTGAAAAGGTGCCAGGTGACCTGATGCCAGGCGACCTGAAAAGGTGCCACGGCGGCCCATACCGGCATCATCGGCTGCAGTCTGAGCTGCATGGGGTCAGCTGATGAAGCCTTGCAGGGCATGGGAGCGACACGGACGTGCTGCTGATTCCGGCACGTCCCCCTCTTGTCCAAAGTGCAGGAGCAGCGGCTCCTACGGAAGTTGGCCTCCCGAACTGTGGCCGAAACCAAGCGGAGAAGTGCGGGGTTTGCTTTAGGGGAGGTAGAAGATGCCAGCAAGCACAGCAGACACGGATTTATCTTAGGGCAAAGCACCCAAGGGCAGCTGAGGACACGGAGGTCCCTTCAGAATCCATGGATGCAACGTCAAAGAAGAAAGCTTTTTTCCAAGATTGACATAGTCGGTGGGACCAGTTCCCACACCATGCAGACAAGAATTTTCGCAGGTGAGTCTTTTCAGGCAGGCACTAGAAGAAACGGCATTAGCTGAAGTGACCTTTCCCATCCCATCCTAGCAGACTCTGGTAGCCATCTGTTACACACCCAGCCCAAGCTGGTGGAGTCAAAACCCCAGACTCCCAGGGGTGCCCTGGAGTCCTGAAATGAGCATTCTGAAGAGCACCGTGGCTGCTATAGTTCTCCCCACCTATAAAGGGGCTGGAACAGCAGGCTAGTGCTGAGGATTTGGGCTGAAGTGAAGTTGATTACACAAACCAGACAAAAGCCCCTGCTGGACAGCAGAAAGCAGCTGCAGCTCCTACAGCAAGTCACTACGAATGTTACTCTAGTCCACGGCAGAGCTTTTGTGTGGGTGCCTGTTTAGGCACCATGTTGCGGGGTTTGGCTCACCAATCCAGGGCTGGGGACTATTCACTGATGTGATGAATTCACTGAGTTCTGCCAATAAACGCCCCCCCCCGGCCCCACACACTAAAATGAGACTTCAATGCTCCACCCATTTCTGCTGCATCCCTTATAACAGAAGCAAGCAAAGTAATGCTGCAAGCAAGCTTTCCTGAAAGTTTGTTTCAGCAACAGATCACCTACCTGTGCCCAGAATCAGACCCAAGCACAGTTTAAAATTGTTTTTACCTTGTTTCAACCTAAAGAACTCGGTAAACAATTCACTGCTAAACTTAAAAACTTTCAGCCTATGTTTCCGTCCCAACCCCCTTGTCCCATGATGGAAAACATTGGGGCATTCCCCTCAAACTTGCAAATGGGACAAACATGTTTTACTACACAAGAAATATTGTATAAATTACTTTACAGCAAATGAATATCAGTACATTCAGAAGCATTGTCCAAAATAAGAGATTGTACTAACTGGTGACACTTGCATATATGGAACTGTTTAGAAATAATGCTGCTGAAGAGCAGAGATTTGCCCCTTAGAGGATTCTGTGCCTATTTCTTTACCTTAAAGCTTGCAACTTTCACTGTAGTTCTAGGATTCTATGGCTGCAGTGCAAACATGAGATTTTATAGACTCTAAGTAGGTTCCCCTGTATCAATTCCCTGATTCCATGAGCCCAAACTTTCCTCCTCCTCTATTATTTTCCCACAGGATTTTTACCTACTTGAAACCTGATTTCCTGCTGGTCGTTTGCCTGTTCCTGCCACAGATGAAACCACCGCTTGGGAGCATCCAGGTCACCTGGCTGGAGACTGACCGATGCCAGGGAAGACGCGCTCGAGCCTGACCCGTTGCCTAGGACGGGGGCCGTAGGGCAAGTCACCTGGCGACCCGCCCCACCCGCTCCCGCACCTTCCGAGCTCCCCTTCGTCCGACTACGACCCCGCTCCCGGCCACCTGATTCTCCTCCTCAGCGCATCCAACGGCAACCTCGGCGGACCCCCGTCCCGCTCCTCTGCCGGGACCATCCCGCACGCACTTGCCCCGCGCCCAGGCGCGGCGCCGCCAGCCGGGCTGCTGCCCGGACCCCTCCCCTCCTCCTCCTCCTCGGCGGCCGGGCAGTCTCCGAGCCGCCCCCCGGCCGAAGTGCCCATCCTCCCCGCCCACCAGGGCCCCCTCCCACGGGGTCCGCCCCGCCTCGCCCCCACTCAGCCATCCCACAAAGCTCGTCCCCGCCCCCCGCCGAGCGCCCCCAGCATCGCCTCCACGGCGCCCCCGCCCCGCCAGGTGCGCCCCCGCGCAGCTCCCAGCCGCCCTCCCGCAGGGCGGCCGGGCCCTTCCGC